GCCTATAGTCTTCCTCAATAAATGTGCTAAATCCAACACAAAAAGTATTATTGAAACCGGACCAGTTGTATTGGATACTAACTGTGCCCACAACTTTGTTTGTGTGGAATAGTGATTCACAGCTCCTTCCCTGTAGGTGATAGGATGATAATATGTAGCCTATATCTTGTACATATCTTGTACCAACCTGTTAGTAATATTAATGCAAAATTTGAAGTAAATTTATACAGTTCTTTTTTAATTTAGCCCGGACATACATACAGGCAGACAGACAAAAATTATAAAAACCAAATTTTTCGCATCAATATTGAGTGTTCATCACGCCTAAAGCATTCTTTATAAAAAATTTTCATTGTGCAGTTTTCTCTTTCCTACAATTTTATTATATGTATAGATTAGCACATTTAAACAAATAAATTATAAAAGTAAGTAAGTAAGTATTCATGTTAGGAACCGGATATCATATTGTGTAAAATCAATTACATAATTGTCCATCCATCAAAGCAACATTTATAGCATTTAATAAACATATTGAAAATACATAAAACTAATATAACAATATTTGGATCACACGAAAAGTGAAAGTGTAACACAAGGAAATAATGGTTCATAAATACTTTACCATTTGTTATACAACACAATAAACATGCCGCTCACATGTGTATTTACTATATTCTGTTTGATTTTAAGACAAATTACAACCATTGCAGAGTAACTCTAATTAAATTCATCAAGTGGATTCGAGGTGGTGTTGATTGGATGATGTTCTGGTTAAAGCCTTCAGTTAAAGGCCTTATTAACCCACCAGGTTAAGTTATACCATCAAGCTTTTATTATTATTATACTCCTTATATAATATAAAATCACTTAGTAAATGAGATGATCTAAATAGTTATGGTAATCTAATTTAAAAATAGAATGTTTTAACATGGAGAGTATGGTACCTAAATAAGGAATTTTGAAACAGTTTCCTAAAAATAGAAACATATCAGTTCACTTTGTAAAAAACCTTAGTTTATACTAATGTATTGAAATTCAGTTTTCTGGGAATGTTTTTAACACTTTACATATCTTAAGATTATAGATTTCATTGTGAAAGCTATAGAAAAAATAATATCACAGCAGATTCACAGACAATCTTTGACTTTCACCTTGTGTTGTGAAATGCTAACAGGATAAAGGCTCAAGCTCCAAGGAATGATACCTATAATATATAAGGCCCTAGGGACCTGGAAATACAACATGATAAAGTATCAGCATAATTGGTGAAATAAAATAACACATTACTTGTCAGTGGCTTCCTCAGCAATTTTCTCCAGAGCGGGATCAGGCGACGGCTCAAATTGACTGTTGCAAGCTACAATGTCAGTTGGTACCAGGGTGCATGCCTGGTCGATATCCCACCGAAACGATCCATTACTCTTTTTCTTATAAATCTTGCACATACCCGGACTAAAATAAAACACCACGATTTGAAATTAGTCTGCGACTGTTACGTTTCTTACTTATAAATACCATAAAAAACACCACGAATTACCTGCATATAGGTTTGTGTAGCTTGTCAATCAAAGCTTTATCGAAAGGATTTCGTATTTTTCTGTTTGAAGGCGGCGGTGTTGATTTATAAACAATATTTTGGCAATCATTTTTATCACCCATTTCGAAATAACGTACTAATCTTTGTTGATGGTATTTCGTGACAAGCTGTGGTGACAATGACAAGCACAGCGCAATGACCTCGGCTCTGATCGATAGGGTGGGAGAAGAAACTATCGATGAAATTATTCAGATGGTTCCCATAATTTTTGGACGATTACCTTTTAACATATTTAGTCAATATTTTTACTGTAGTACATCTATCACTATTCAACGTTTATTTTTAATGATTTAATATTTTATTTCCAAATTAGAGTGGTATACAAATAATAATGCTATAGAACGTGGTAATGCTCCCAGCCTTTTGGGTTTTTCGTCTATTGACATTGATGCGGTCGATTTTTTAATGTTCTATAAAAATAGTAGTCTTTAGTTTTCTTTTACTTTTGTTGTTAATTTTTAATTTCATAGTTTTAAATTAAAATATTTATTTATTTTTCACTTATAAATATTGTATAATGTATGCATATTATTTGTAAGTTCATATGCAAAAACAAGCGTGCGCGCATCCCATTTTTTATGTTTTCTGGATGTTTGATAAGTATCGATATTTTTTTCGTATGTGCATCCCTAGTGTTAGAGGTGTAACTTTAAACGTAGATTATATTAAAGTATTGGTACAGATAAAAAATATACCTCACTCACTTACATACACATACACACGCACTCACACTACATTGTTACACACCTACAGTCACACACACACACTCATACAATGTTGTCCATTTTCTTTATTTATGTAAATACTTTATATTGTTCAATGTCTCCGGGGGTCACCCGGGCCTGGTGATCTGTAACACAGGTTATACCTTTAACAGACACCAGTCTCTTAATTGTAACATATTATATAATTTGTATCCGTAGAGTATTTTTGAGAAAATAAAGATTTTTATTATTATTATTATTTAAGAGATTGTTCTTTTTCTCAGCCATAAGGCCGGCTTTAATGTCCTTCACGGGTGTCAACCAAGTGAAGGACATATAAATGAAGTATTTATTCTGCTAGAGGTATATTGTTATTATTATTAGTATTATTTCGTTAAAAATAATAGTTTATTACCTAGTTCATAGCCATTCATACATTTTGATCACACAAAGCCGAATATAAAATAATGCAATTTAGCTAAAAGTATACCTTCATATAGAAAATAAAAAATTGGCAAGACATTTAAAAACAAGTTTAAAAAAGTAGATGAAATTGGTTACATTCCAATTACTTATGAAACTATTTGGTTAGGTACAGTTAAACCTAACAACTTAAAATTATCAGTGTCGATACCAAAGTTTAAACTTATACAAATAGAGAATAGGTACATTAGAGCATTATTTACTTTTGCAGGAAACACTGGTTCGATTTGAAATATTAATAAACTTTTTGGATTGGATAGTCCATTCATTGAGGAAGGCAATTAGTTATGAAAGGCTTATGTTTAACTTACCACTAGATATTTTAACAAATTATTACAGCGGATAAAAATAATAAATGATCACCAAACTGAAACCCGCATTTAATGTAAAATTATAACCAAAGTTTTGACATTTTGCTAACTTTTTTAACCAAAATGACTCCAAATAAATAATTATCAGCCCAAAAGTAGGTAGTAAATGATCACCAAAATTATCGCAGTTTAATATAAAATAGATTACAGCGACGAAGCACCGCTACGCGGGGCTCTTATTTTTGTCCGCAGGGTTTAAAGTAATCTAACGAATGGCATTTTGACCTATCCGCCTACTATGTTGGGATGCCATCAAACATTTTTGGTGATAAGTATTATTTTTGGTAAAAGAACTTAGGGTACCAAAGTATTATTTGGTGGTCATAATATTTAATCTCGTAATGAAACATCGCCCTATGATGAATAGGAGCCACGCGGCGAGTGAAATAGCACAGTAAGTAGCTAGCTTTTTTACTAAAAAAATTTAAGATCGTCTCTAGTAATGTCACGGCGCGGCGCCGCACAGTTGACGGATACAATGACGTTTGCAAGTGACTGTCAAAGGTTTTGGTGGTTAGATTTAAAATTACTAATTTTCTAAATATTTATTATATCTATCGATGTTTGACATAACTCATGCATTTCGCTAATTGTTTCAGAGGTTATATATAGGAAAGCATTTGCTCAAATATATTTAATAATGGAGGATCATAATTTAAGTTGTGAGCCCATGGACATTGATACCAGCGGTCATTCGGTTCGAGACATGGATATTTCTTATGATGAGCCGTTCTACATGTCGACTGTTATTAAAACTGAAAAAGAAGATTTTCCCTCTGAAGAAACACAACTAATTACCGACAATGCGATCTCGGACATCCAACCAACTCTGAAGAAATTCCATATAAACATGCAGAGACCAACCAAAAGTTACAATAATGTTTTATTCCAGCCAGTTACCATTGGTATGGTAGTATTAATATCCATATTTGCACTTCATATTTATAGTTTAAAGTGCTTTGATGATTTTAATGTAGAAGAGTTAAGAGACACACTTACGAACCAAGTATTTGGCCAGTCAGAAGCTACCAATTCAATACTGGAGACATTAGAACAACAAGAGCGAAGTAAACTTATTATCTTCTCAGGAGGAACAGGTGTTGGGAAAACTTTAATATCTTCTATCTTGCTGAACAGTCTGGGGCCATGTTCTAATGTATATCACTACACCATGCCTAGTTTTATAAATACATTCTCAACAGACTTTATGTATGGTTTGACTATGTGTAAGAAGTCATTGCTAATAGTGGATGACTTGACTGCTAATGATATTATCCAAACCAAAATGCAAATACAGAAAGTTATAGAAAAAAGTGAGTACTTAGGAAAAGAAACCACTGTGATTTTAATATATAATTGTTATGAATCAACTGCTAATTTTAAAAGAAACTGTGATGAGTCTTTTCGTCATAAATTATTGGAGAACTTCAGTGAGATAAAGGTTTTAAAAAGGTTTGTTGAATTCAAACCTCTTACAAAGTATCACTTGAAGCAATGTATCAAGCAAGAGTTAGCTGACAGACAACTAAATGACAGGGAACTGGAGGATGTGTTGAGAAACTTCAATGTGGATGTTGACGGCTGCAAAGGTGTTCACTCAAAGATGAAGTATTTGAATATTGTTTGAGGTATGTTCTTATTTTGTAAACATTCGCCTATGTACTGTAGTCATTTCAAAACAGGTTGTGAGTAATAATGTAGCTAATTCCCATTGTATGTATGTATATTGATTAAAATAAGTATGTAGTTAGTATGTATAGTGTAATATAAACTGTAAACAATCTATTATTGTTGTATTCTTTCTTAGTGTAAGTAGGTAATGTGTTAAATAAAATATCATGAATTATTGTAGATCAAAAGAACTTTATTTTAGAGAATTTTACATGATAATCGGCAATGCAGAGGTCCAAGTAATAATGTTTAATACAAATATACTGACAATTCTTTAATACACCTATACATCCACATAGGATATATTCTACAACAAACTTAGCTTTCATGACAAAAAGAGCAAATCCTAAATGAAGTTTGTGGTGCATTAAAGTATAAATACTTTGGTAATATTTCTAACTATAAACATATAAAATAATCTCAACCGCATACCTAGGCGAGGGTGCAAATTGGTATGGAATTTTGACTAAACACATTGTTCATATCCACTTAATCAACACCCTAATAATGATGTAAGTTAATGTTGATATAGCCTTACAAATATTAACTTTGCAATGTTTGGCTTTGAAACATTAAACACAATTCTAGCTGAATATTATAGATAATGTTAATCTATTGAGATTATCAGCAATTTTACTACACAAGTAATTATTAATTGAAAATTATGACACAAAAACGATTTATACTAGTATATTTAAAAATGTACCCCTATTGCAATGCACCCATATTATGTATATAATTTTTCTCATGAAACCATTCGTATCACACCTCTAAGTATAGTTATTTTAGCAGATCTGTGAAAAGTCAATAATGTCATTATTTGATACAAATGGTCCCATGAAACAGTAAAGTTTAAGTACATCTTTAATGTAAAATAATTTATTATTATATTTTTATTATAAGTATTGTAAATGTACAGAATAAAAAGCAGCCAATGGAAAAAGTTAAATGTCATTTTACAAGCCCTCCTAAATGTAAAAGCCAGTGAGATAAATGCATGCAAACAGGTAAATGTGCATTATTAACAATTTGCGGAGAGCAGATTAAATTTTTGAGAAAGTTAAACTATTTAATCCAAGCTGACAGTAGCTGTGTATAGGTATCCCTTTAATTTGGTGTCTGGACTACTGTCCGGGGAAGACTAAAACATACATAAATACTTAAAATATTCTTGTCTCAAGAGATTTGTGAGATTTTCTGGAAGATATTATCATGATGATAGATTTGTGCTTCTTCTCATACTGAATAGGTAGATAGGGTTATATACATAATTTAATTTGCTTTAAGTAGTATTTAATTAAATTCTGACAAAATTTAACAGTTTAATAGTAAATATTGTATTTCATTGATAGTTTGGTAACATATTAGTCTATTCAATAAAATATTATACTTTTGTTATATTTCAATACATTGGTGTTTCATACTGACCTTTATGAATATTTATAGTTATTTTGATAATGTAGGTGTATAAGAAATAGATACCTACCCAAAAGGTTTTCTTGGGAAAAGGGATTTTCATAGACCCAATGCAAACTTTCAGCTGTACCTCGTTAAGTATACATTCAATAAAGGAATTTATAATAAATTAGCTGTTAGGCTACTATTTAAAAAATTAACAATAAAACAACGGTAACTTAAGTAGGTAAGTAAGTATATAAAAACATTAAAGTTACATACTGTGATGTTTATGACTGAGCTTAAAAAACTAACAAGTTGTGTCGTGTCTATATCACGTTATTTCCCAACAATGGATTAGCACAACTGATATCTAGGCAGATATAACTATCTATACCTTTTAGGGTCTGACAACTCCGTGGACATATCTAGTCTTTTAACATTAACGGAGAGCCACTATTTAAGTAGAAGTAAATTATTAAATAAATTCAACATGATCTAGATAACAAACCCTCATTAAATATTTTCAAAGAAAATACTTTATTTAGCTAATGACGAAGACGACACTTTAAACATGCAATGTGCAAATCAATAACTATGTACACATTTAAGTTCATGTACCTATGTATGTAAATATATGTTCAAAATTAATTTAAAAATGTTGATTAATTACTAAATATGCGTAGGTAACAATAAAGACTAGAATACATTTTTAGTTTTTACAGTTATTGGCACTAATTTCAATGATAATGGCACAACTATGTACTCTGTATACAGTGAAAGTACCAACATGAAAAGTTGATTCACAATGTAGGTTTTATTATGCTTTTAATATTACAATTTCAACTCTCTTTGATGGTCGTAAATTAAGTTTTGCTAACTATACTAAAATATATTACAAAATTGTAAAAAACATGGATAAATGTCATTTATATCTAAGTATATATTATAGGAAATACTGAAATTACTGCAGACTTACAGTTATAGATCCCATATTTAAAGCACATCTCTTAAGTGAAACTGTGCAAAAAACACTTTACATTTATTACATTAATATCACTGTTGACAAAGCTCCTCTTAGTTCATAAAATACCAACACGCAGACCATTCTCTTGCACAGTTATCACTTTAAAATTCTAAGCTATGTCAAATACATTTGTGTTGATGCCAGGTACGAAACCAATACAGCAAACAATTAGATCGGCCCAATTAAATAGTAGTTAAAGAAAGTATTAGATCACACTAATGCCCTGGTGAAGAAAGCCGAAAGCATAATGTCATTAACATTAAAATCTAAAATTGACGAAATTGATATAATCCACTTAAAATATAATACGCACGTCGATGCTGTACTAGCTAATACATAGGTAGGATTCTAATAGTTGAAGAGAATGTAACGCAGTTCAGTAAACTACAAATAGATGAAAGATAATTTTAATAAACTACGACATCACTGTAAAGATACATAAATCTAAGTGCATAGTGCCAATAACTGCAGGATATATTAGTTACTTAAATCTTATCAACTAGGTATTTCATAACAAATAGAACACCATTTTTAAGCACGACAAAACATTCATAGTTAAAAATGTAGAGAGACTTACTGAGAAATGTGCTAAATATTCTAAATGTTGAAAATTTTGCTGATTTACTTATAATATAGATTCATTAGTATCAGATCTGTTGTTTGTTGAGATTTCATGAAACACTTTGTCTCGATATTCGTTGACATATTTTCGATTTTGTCAGAGATCAGATTTTTGTACACTCTACTATAACTAGCACAAAGCATTGAATTTAACGGTATCACATTTTAGCCACATCGTATTTTTATTTAGTGACTTTAACGGATAAGAATCAACTTCCGAATCGCTTACACAGGTGTCAATAACATTTACCTATAAGTAATTAACTTAATTTTTTGGATTACAAAGAATTCTAATAAAATTCGTGTAAGTTTCATAGCAGAATTGGATAATAAATTTTTATATTGTACGATGAAGAGGATTTTGTAGTTTTGTGGTCTCAGTCGATACTTTGAAATATGTTTAAAACTGTTGCAATGTAACGATATCTCCATTACATACAATCTGACCTACAAGACCATTATCCTCTACCGTACAAGTTTGGGTTGTAGAAGGGACTAGTTAGGAGCGATGGAAATGTATTGCCGTCCACTTGTTGTGGCGTTTGTGCCATATACGAGTCTCTTGCGACTGGTGTGTGGCTCGTCGGCCCTCGGCGTCCACACTTTGTGTTACGCAAACGTATGCGATTACGGCTACATCATCACCGATAAGATGCACTCTAGGGTTTAAGATCGTCGTGTTAGTTTTCACATGGGTTGGCGTGTTATCGATAAAGAACTTGTGAAATTCGACGCCTTCCACTAGGTTGCCCAGTGCATCTGGATCAAATGCAGTTACATTTGGGTCACATAATTTGGAATAGGTTTCATAATCACCGTTATTAATTGCATCTATGAGCACTTCAGTAACCTTAATTACTTCTGCTCGGCGCAAAGAAGCATTACTGTCACCACGAGCTTTACCAAATGAATCAGCTTTAGTCAACGCTTCCTCGTCGTGCTCCTTGGAAATTACAGTACATGCTCTATCTACACCTTTCTTGTCCTTGTCTAGGTCATCGTCTTCCAATGTTGTGCTGCTGTCGGTTGATTCTTTTACTTGTGACCCGTCACCTTTTTTGTTCACCATAGACTTTCCAGAGAAATTGCGGGTAGCAAGCATAGTTGTCAAAATTGCGCCCTTCAGTTTGCGTCGTGCATTGAATTTCTTCAAACAGTCCACGGTCTCTTGCCTGTGCATAACAGAAGCAACACGTTCCCGGTGGCAAATCCATGGGTGTTTAAGGGCTTCAGAAGCCGTTATTCTCTTGCTTGGGTTTACAGTTAACATCTGGTTTATGAGACTTTTAGCTTCGGGTGTTACTGTATCCCATTCGGGCGATGGATAATCATAAGCACCCGCTTTAATTTGCCCATACAGTCGATGTTGATCTTCATCCCAAAATGGAGGATAACCAACAAGCAAAATATATAAAATCACACCGCACGCCCAGATATCTACTGGCTTACCGTATGGTTCTTTTTTAAGTACTTCAGGTGATAAATAGCCAGGAGTACCCGCAAAACCAAACCAAGCTTGCTGATCGCCTTGTACTTCAATGGCTAATCCAAAATCAGCAAGTTTTACAGCAGCTCCTTTAGCTTTGCTGGCAAGTAAGAGATTTTCTGGTTTTAAGTCTCTGTGAACAACTCCATTATGGTGACAATGGTGTACAGATTCAAGAATTTGTTGTATACAATGAGACGCATCAGCCTCAGAGTAGAATTCTCTGGCAACGATGTCTTCAAACAATTCACCGCCCGTTACCAGGTCAAAAACGAGGTAATGAAAATGTTCCTCTTGAATCGAATCGTGGAGTCTCACAATGTTAGGGTGTTGAAGTTTTCGGCAAATTCGCGCCTCCCTCTCCAACTTTTGGAAGTCTCTTGCAGAGAGTTTTTTAGTATTAATTATTTTGGCCGCAAATTCGTAACCGGTTGATTTCTGCACAGCACGTCGAACGATTGAAAAGGCGCCTTTTCCCAATTCTTCTTTAAGATCATAATTATCAGAAAACCGCGTACTGACACTTTCACGATTTGGGTTGGCCATTTTAACACAGTATACTTACTTCACCAGGTTGTAACAGTTAACTTACTGCGTAAACTTTGAGCACGTATCTTCAATTTTCGAGAATGTAACTGCAACAAAAAAGAAACTTGTTATTGAAAGGAACTCGTTATATTTTTCTTGTCATGTCATGATTGCGTAGTGTCGTTCTATAATTGGATTATAAGATGCCAAAAATCGACATCAATATTATAATTATTATATGTAGGTACCAGGTACTTTTTATATAGGGTACCAGTATGAACAAATTTTATTATTATTTTTTTTAAAGATATCTAAATGAAATAATACTTAATAATGTGTTTCCTTTACAGACGTAATAATAATGTTGGTATATAAAATGTTAAAGATTATTAAGCATATAACAATTCAACTTATATGTATTATCTTATTTTTAATATTTCTCGTACCACAAATAAATTATTTTTTATGCATATCGTAAGTAATCAGGAGTTCGTAATTTATATTGTGTGAACTATAAGTGCTATTTATATTTTCTCTTATATCTTGCTGTTCTTATTCCACTCACGAAATAGTCAGAAAATAGATATTGTCAAGGAGCGGATGAAATTATCCGAATGAAAAACGTCGGCACTATTTTGGTCACCCAAGCTAAATTGAAGTTCTACATGCTTAATATAAAACGCGTAGATGCCTAGACAATAGTAATCGTGGTCACAAACATAGACTTCTAATATTAACACTACGGCACCGGGATGACATTTGGTTAGCGCAAAATAATCGATACACCATTGTCTCAACACATTCACCAAAATCCCGAGGACATAATAACGTAAAACATTTAATATGTCCGATCCGCACACGAGATAAAACCCGAACACAAACCACTACTAATTTAAGAATATCACTGGTACTAGTTTTTTTACTAATAAAATTATCATTACTCGACTTTGGCCGATATTCTTAGCGTTACGAACTTGTACGTATGGTTCGCGATATATTTTTAATGGAACAAATTAAATCCATCATCCGAATAGAAGGAGAATTTGATCGTAATATTCATTGAAAAATGTCTTATTTACCTATTATGTGCCCATTTTACACAATATTCGACAAGATGAAGATCAAATACGAAGGGCCTAGCCCTACACCACACTCTCCTTCTGCTCCGGACACGAGCTTCGGGGTCAAATTCATAGACATTTGTGAGTTGCCAGAAAAGTTAACTTATATTCATGTAGGATAACAATTTTCAAAAGCGCTTTTTTATTAACTTTCAACTTATCTACAGATGTAAATGCTCATTTTATACTTAATGATCGTTAATATTTTAGGCAAATGCGTCATATTATCACAATAAAATGTATTTCATTACTTTTATTTTTTGTTCTGACCACACTGAGTGTATTCGTAAAATCGATAGACTAGCGCACAGCGCAACGCTAAACCAAAGAGAATTGACGAAGCTGAAGTTAGCGCCATCTTACAGGTATATTATACAATAATGTCACTCGTTCAGGAACTTTAGAAATTAAAGTATTCTGAGAAGTGATAATTATTTATTACATTGTATCGGTAAAGGCTTATCTTACGATATATTACGTTACATAGTAGGTTATTTTACATATTTATCGACTTAACTCTGTAGGTTTATTGTAACTCTTTACGTATGAGAACATGATTTATTTAAATTGTTTTATTAGCAGACAATATTTATTTGTGTTGTTTCAAGCTTCAGGTACTAATTGTCACTTCGCTTATGTATCGCGATTTTAACAATGAGTATACACACGCTGTATAAAAATGGTACATTTATGTAACCTAGCAAGTTTTAATATAAATATAATTATGTAATTATGATTTTATTTTTGGGGAAGTTAAAGGTGTAATATTGAATTATAGTAGGTATGTAAAAATGAAACCCGTTTCCCGTTGTCACGCCATAACTTGAGAACGACTAGACCGATATGGCTGATTCTTTTTTGTTGTGTTTGTTATTGTCAGTTGAATGTTCTTATGACAGAAAAAAAATCTGATAATTCTACGGGAACGGGAGAAAACAGGATTGCGCGTACGAAGTCGCGGGCATAAGCAAGTTAATATATAAATATTTTTATGTTATATGCAAATATATTTTGAAATCTTAACCGAAACTACTGTTGTTTACCCAAATCAGATTTATACTTACGACTGCAAAACTTTAAAAGGGTAATTTGGTAATTTTACTAATTTCGTTGATGAATTCTATAAATGCATACGTAGACTATCTGACTCAACATAAATCGTCCTGTTCAAAGGCAGTACCATTTGTTAAGTATATTCTTATCTAATGTGTCCACGTATATGCCCAAATATACGTATATTTTTATTTCTGCCGTAATGATTAACCTCGTACTTATTTGCGTGTTTATTGATATAGTAAGTGTATAATTTTTTTTAAGTATCGTGTGTACTATGGAACGTAACTATATGCCATTTTGTTTTTTGTGACTTTATCCTAAGTTACGTGGGATCGGCGTCATGTCTTCTTCAATTCTATCCTATTAGATTCCCTTCATTTATATCAAACGTTATTACATCACAAGCTCCTTTTTCTTTCATACCATTCCTCAAATATCTGATCCCTGTGTTTTCTTTGGAACTTGTCTTTCTTTTCTACCATCCTAATTTTAATTCAGCACTCGGTTTGTCTCAAGGTTTTCATCAGTTCTTATTAGATACCTCACACCATATTATTATATGGGGGTTACGCCTGATGCCATAGTAGGTATTATATGGGTCACGTGAACGATACAAAATAGGAAGGCAAATAAATATTATTGTGTGGTCATAAATCCGATGAATCCTAACTACAGACTGGTACTAAAAATTTTATGTTAATACATATCTAGGTAATTCTCTCGTGAATATTCAAATTGTTCGTCTACGTTTATATAGACTTCTTTAGCACTTACCGATTTTATAGCAAAAATATTTTCTGTTAACAAAAAACATTACCAAAACGACTGAAAAAGAAAACGGAAAAGAAAAAGTCCTTTAGTTTTCACGACCTTTTCTTAACAGCATTGCTCCGAGAAATGAACTGAACTCAATCCTTTTTAAAATGGTCTCTGAAAATGGACTGGTTTACCACGTTAACTATTTCAATAGACATCCGAGGGTTTAGAATTGGACTATTCCTTATGAAAATAGTTTGGGTGTAAAATTATTACAAATAATGTCTTTTTTAATTTAATGACACCGACGAATAGACATTATTAACACTAGTGTAATTATTCACGCAAATTCGGTGGATCGGATCCTGAGCTTTTATAAGGATCAATCAAAATACTCATGAGCTGAGGAACATTATATATCTTACATTATTAAGTATGTGAGATATTTTAATATATCTTATTATTTAATATTTTTTTTTTGTTAAGTCACCCTTGTATTACATTACACGGGACTTATAAAATAACTGGTGAAGGGGATTTTTTAATTTGTACTTATAATTTTCAGCACTTTTATCTACTCCTTCAGAGATTAAAAACTGTGACGACATTTTTAATTAATTAAATAGTTGAGCTTCCATCATACCTAATTGCAGTGTATTATTTAACAAAATAAGCTCAGACAGAAGACTAATCAATCAACACCCTGATTGATCATCAAAGCATATACGTAGTTAGGGCCTTTGGGTCATGTATTATATTAGCTTATTAACTTTATTGTTTTTACGACACGTTTAGCTTAGGAGTTATTATATGTCATTCCGGAGTTTTGTCAATCTAAAATTCTTCTTACCGTCATGAGTATCACTATGAAACTTATGTTTATAACAGGAGTACAGTATCAGTCTACTTTAATGTGATATTATGTAATGTATGTAATATGTACGTACTTATGTATAAAACTGTTTTACTTACTGCTAAAAAATCGAGTCACGATACTAGTCCATCCTGGGTGATCAGTGACCCCTCGAACATTTTAAAGTCGACTAGGACGGCCCCTTTGCTATAATTACTCCTATCATTCTATGGTTTTGTTATTAGCTGTTCGTGTCGGAAATACCGGTTTCAGAACATCAATTTGATTGAAAGGTTGTATGCAACGCGACTTTTATTATTTTTACTTTTCAAAATTAGTTGATGCGTCCTTACTTACTACTATCATCGCGGCTTATCTTGAATTTATGAATGTGTTCGGTGTTCATATCAAAATCGAACTTGCTTTTGTATGAATTTTCGTTTTCGATAACATCTTTAAATTAGTTTTGAGTTTACGATTACATGCATATTGATATCAGCCACAGAATAGTGTGTGACAAAAGTTCGGCACCGGTCTATAACGGCACCGCCGGTATATTGGGATAAAAGATCCCCTTCGGGTAGGCTAACTCCACGAGTTGATTCACAAAAATCAAAACTGGTTCGCATCTTGCGCAAGTGCAGGGGGGGAATAAACAAGGGCTTTCGGAACGGGCCCTTCCAAAATGTGCCGGTGCACAATGCACCCTCCGTACCATCCCCACGCAAGCACTCTTATTATTACGCGACTCCGGTTCCTGTCCCCATATTGTTCATATTATTTTGGTATTCGCCAGACGCGTTACGAAGTTTTCGTATCTCTGTGCCGTTAGTTTTCAAAATTTGTGCGTAAATTAGTAGAGTAATTTGAAGTGTCTATATTTTCTCGGTAATAATATAAGATGAAGAGTGTTGTTATTTAGAGTCTGAAACCGTGCAAATTATTCGCTTGAAGGTATTCGATTGGCTCCGTCTTCGATTCTGTCACCTAATATTTGCAGCGAAGGGAAGTATTAAGGTTTCGAACGCTGCGGTCGTCTCAAGTTGCTTTTCTCATGAGTGGACGTGCGTGTAAAATAATAACTTGAGAATAATATGTGTGGTAGGAGCGTCGGACGCACGGCGTGCCGCGTGCAGCGCCCGCACGCCTTTGTAGTGAACGAGTACTATCGATCGTGGGCTACTTCGCTATCCGTGAAATGCGTTCTGTGTATTCGGTGATCGCTTCAATTTGGCGGGAGTCGGTCAAGCACTAATCTGTATGAGGAGCATTTGGTAAGTTCCTACCTATCTTCATATTACTTTTTGTTCTCTTCGAAAATGACTTAACATTACTTCTGTTACCTACATACCCGCACTACACTGTATTTAGTGCTAGTGAAGATATCGGTATCGATATGCCAAATTGAAACATACAAATTAAGTAGCTTACGTACAAATACAACTACGTAGTGTAATTTTTGTTATAACAAAACAGTTACTATAATGATGCATTTAAATTATGTTTTCAATAGGAAACTGATTGCAACAACTTGTTGGAGCGACTACTACCATTAGTATAGGACCATCACAGTAGGTCTACTGCTTTCAAACAATTAAAGTCTGTTTTCTGCTTATTGTACTTACTTTCACAGTTCAGTTTATGCATCTAACATAATTATGATGTAAGGTAAAAAAATATTCCCGATCAAAATGATATTTCTGTAACGTATTTTTACAAGCTCATTTGAAACAGGTCAATGAACTTTTAATGCCAAAATTTTGTTCGGCATAGCATTATACATACAAGCGTGCTTATAAAAGGGTTTTAAAAATACAAAAGAAAGCTCTCGTTTTTTAGGGTTCGGTGAAATTTTGGTGGCAGTTTGACAGCTGTAAAGACATTTTTTTTCGCTATACATAGGTACTTATTTACAAGGGGAACCAATCACTTTTGTATATTTCAGACATGTGCTACTATATTTTGGAAGCACTCGAGAGGATAGTGAAGTATTAATCAATAATACCAAAGTCCATTACAGAATAGGTAATAAATATGTAGTGTAAAAACCAAAATGTTGAGACAAGCCTTTAGTTAAAACAGTCAGTACGGAGACGAAAATTATCAATTGGTAAACTATAAAAATAATCATAACATTATTTTAGTTTTTCTTTCTTTCTTTCAATTAATTTCTAAAAACAAAGTTCCTACTAAAATAATTAAAATAAACATGAGGACGAGCTACAAAGACTTGTCCGTTACTTTAAAGCTTGTAATTTATGATTTCAAATCATGACGCTTGGTAAGCCAGCAAAAGTTGTAGTTTCAGCAACTTACACATGTCTTAGTGTTCTATTCTACTTTCCTGTAATAATTAATTCAAATTAATGGCGCTATAAACAAGGCTCAGGTTAATTATGCAGCCGAGGTAATGC